TGTATTTTGTTTTTGGTGGAGGCTTTATATAAGCCTACAGGGCTTTTTGCCTCTCCCTGCACTGTCATCATCTTTTTCTTCTTCTTTGAATTGATGTTTTTATTGTGCAAATAAACTAAACTAAAACTAAACTAAAGTGTTACAAGTGTTGGCCTGTAGAAGATGCATTTTCCTTAAAAATGACCGTTTAGAAAATTACTTAGAGGAATAAGTCGTAGTTGAGAAAACGCAGGATGAAGCTGTAGAAAAAGATAGCTGAATGGCTGAACTCTCAGAAAGCAAGTAGCTAAGAGACAAAAATATGTATAAAAACGCGCATGAAGACAGTGGTAGATCCATAAATAAAAAAAGGTTACAATAAACAAGTCATACTGTGATTTAAATGTCCTGAGAAGTATGAAAACCAAGAGAATAGTACCTCTCCGCTCCTCTGTGATGTCATGTGTCATAAAGCGAGCGCTCCCAGGAGGCGCGGTTCTGACGTCTTGGTTCAGCACGTCCTCTCATACAGAGCAGAACCCGAAGTAGGCTCTGAGACAGCACTATGCTGTATTATTTTGGTGATGGAATAACAGCGAGGAGCGGGCTTTGAATAAAAGTTAAAACGGCCTGCCATACTGACACTGACATCCAAAGGTAGGTGTGTGTTTTTTTTCTTTACCCAGCGGGGTGTAAAGTCAGCTGGTTATGTCCCACCGGCGAAGGCGGAGTGAATGTGTTTTACCCGTGTCTGCCTGTTTTTTACTGTCTGCAAAATACCTCACAAATTACTGAACAGATTAACTTTCAGGAAGTAATTATTTGATTAACATATACAGCTAATTGCCGCCTCATCAGCCAGGTTTACAGATGATGAGCTCGGGATGAGCTCAGATGTGGTGTGGTAGTAGCTGAGAGTCATACACAGCAAACAGCCTGAGTGCTAACAGGTCGTGTGAGAGATCTGGCAAACATATTGTTATTTTAAGGCTAAAAACGGTCATTTCTCAGCAAATGATCAGTTTAATGGAAAGGAAAGGTGGCATGGCGAAATAATCCTAAATTATATAAATGTAAACCTTGTAGGCTATTTGCAGCTCAGCTTGTGAAATCAGTTTTATTAATTAAATGCATCAAATTGATAAGAAAAACATGTTTAAGGACTACCACTGAAAGTTCTCTAATATTTTTTTGTGTATGTTTTCCCAGTAAGAATGTCCAACTGCAGCGGTCTGCTGAATCCACAGAAASAACCAGGTACAGTCTTCAAAGTTTGTTAGAAATAGACGATATTCTCTGTTTTAAGCTGAATGTGTGATTTGACTGGTTTAGGATATTAATACAAAATTTTCGTCACTGTAAACACTGACTGCTAACAAAAGATACTATTTCCGTTTGAGCTGYACCTTTTAATGAAGGCTATTTAGACATGATTTTTTTCTATCCAAAGAGGCAGCCTGCAGGAGAAAATGAGAATTTAAAGTTGTGACAGATAAGAAAGTGGAGGAATAGTAAAATGGATGCATGAATATTTATTTTCACTTTTATTAACAGAACTAATAGGTTTATTTTCTGATTTTTTTAATTATTATTTTAATTTTAAGCCCTGGTAGGAACAACTTGAAATTAAACATTAACAGTTCTTTTTCATTTAGGGTCAGGTATTTTAAGGTATTTGAGAAATGTGTTAAATTATGAGTCAGTTTAAATGATTTCTTTAAAACTCAGGTTCATGCTGAATGTCAAAAAAGCCATAATAATGATGGACCATTATCTATTGTTTTTCCAGTTTCTGTTTCAGTATGAATGGGATTACTATAATGTTGTAAAATAAATTGAGGGAGGACCAATCAAATTTCTCCCTGATGTTTCTGTAAAAATGCGTAGAAATCTAAATGCCAGTCGTAACTTCAGCATTTGTGCAACTCTGTACCATRCTAGTTCAAGCAAATGCTTAAAAAAATAAAAATCCAGAATTCCCAAGACAAGATCGAGTACAACTGCAGTCGAGCTTGAGACGAGGCCATCAAAAAGCGGTCTTTAGACCAGTCCCAAGACCAAAACTGGTCTAGAGTACAACACTAGTAACCATATGTTTTTTCTTGATCCAGTTCCTCTGAAGAGCATTGATGTTCAGCTGGAGGTGAGGGATCATGTAGCTACAGTGGTCTCCACTCTGAAGTACGAGAACAAGGAGGACAAACCACTAGAGGCTGTTTTTGTCTTCCCTCTGCCTGGAGATGCWGCTGTGTGTCATTTCAGTGCTGACATTGGACAGACACACATTGTAGCTGAGGTGAAGGAGAAACAGCAGGTGAGCTGCACAGAAAGATTTCTTCTGTAGAAAARAGCTGAAACACAGTGAAGTGAAGATCACTGACMTGYTTCATGTGGACTGCAGGCTCGGGAGGAGTACGATGATGCGCTGAGCTCCGGTCAGCAGGCCTTCCTGTTGGAGGAGAGTGAGCAGAGTCCAGATATTTTCTCTCTGAGTGTTGGCAGTCTGCCTCCAGGAGAGAGCGCCTCCATCAGGCTGGAGTACGTCACTGAGCTGGCTGTGCAGGCTGATGACGGGCTGAGGTTCTSTCTGCCTGCTGTGCTCAACCCTCRCTACCAACCTCAGGGTAGGAAATACGATCAGACTAGAAAACATTTTGCAGCATACAGAAAAGWCCCACTTTCCGAATACRTTAAAAACTCCCCTACCTTTGAGCATTTCCTCTGAGGGGTGAGTACAGACAATGGTATGCAGCTGTTGCCTCATTCTGGAAAGCACACACTCCCGGATGTCATAAAATAAGGTCAAACTGGAGCTCTGCTTGGAAGAAGAAATGTCATGTGTTTGCCAAATATGCTTTCAGAACATACACTGTGACCACTGTAACTTGTCTCTGTTGGGCTGTGACTGAAGTGGGAAAAATCTGTCCCAACTTGTGAATTTCAATGTGATTGTGTAACAAGTGAAGCATTTCCTGTTACTGCTGATTGTTTCTTATGGTTTGTCAAATGAGGAATATCTGCACAACACAGTGACGCAAACCTGGATTGTGTTTGGTTCCTCATTTCTCTTTAGGGCAGATTTCAGCCTCAGAGGTTCAGTAATTAAGTTTAAATGTAGACAGAGTTGAGTTAAATGGGGTTGTAAACACTTTATATTAATTCTACACACATTAACCATTCAGTAATTGTTCAATAATTAACATCAGTGTAACACCTCTTAAACAGTCATTAATGATCACTAACTTCCTTTACTGACTGACAATTTGAACAACAATTAGACTTCTAAGAATAATCTCCAAATAACTTCCTCACTTGGAAAAAAAGACAGTTTTGTGAAAAACAGCTGAATCACTGTTGAATTTTGTTGAAGAAAGAGTTAAAACATTAGCTATAATCAGCAAAACATTAGCTTTAATCAGCAAAGTTGTAACAAAATTTAAAATTACTAAAATGGTTGCAAAAAGCTAAAATGGGCATTACAGTAACTAAAAGATAGCATTTCAGTAACTGTAGCTTAAAGCTATAAATAAACAAAACTGTTATTAAAAGATACAATTAACAAAACTGACAAAATTAACAAATGAGCAGCTAAATACTAAAATTAGTGAGACAGTAGTTCAAAGCATAAAACAATTTGGAGTAAGTATGTAGAACAGGGCTATTCAACTAAATTGTTCCGGGGGCCACCGTTACTGCAGGTCAACAGTTCAGGAGTCGAACATCCAGCAGTTTAAGTTATTATGTAAATAAACCAAGTATTACAAAGATCTGTTACCTTTGAAATAGTTTATTTTGCTGCATTTAATCATGAATACAACATACAGAACCCTATAAAAGTAGTGATAATTACACATTATCAAAAACAATAAGAACACATTATGCCTCCTATTTGACACAAAAATTATTTTGACATCGCTGACTTGCCAAATTTTTAAACCAATTTTATTTTCACTTTCATAGTTCTATCTTCAACTGCTTGTAGTTTCAATTGTCTTGACTGTGCATAGAAATGGTTTATAACAGCCTCTAGCCAAGATTCTGACGTTTCTGTAGATACCACACATGTCCATGTCTAGCTAAAGGAACTTAGAGTAATTAAAGTAGGGGCGTGTCTTAGAGAGAGGCTTTTATTCCAGAACACAGCCACTGTGACGAAACTGTGCAGAAGCACGTCACTGTGGAGAGCTGTTAACCAATATGCAAATTAGCCTGCAGTACCACTGCTCTACCCATATGAGCAGCAAAAAGACRTTTTTAGACCAAATATTACAGATTTGAACAAATACACACAAAAACATCAAAATTAGCACAGAAACAGTACTATATAACATTTTAGGCACATTCTAGACAGTTTATCAGCTAAACAAAGTTAATTTTGGGGTGAGTTACTCTTTAAGAGCCTAAATAATGTCATGATATATCTGCTTTTCAAACCTGATGTTGCTTCCAGGTAGTGAAGGTGCCAGTGCCCAGGTGACCTCAGTTCCAGCCTCTCTGGTCCCCTACAGTCTGTCCTTTTGTGTCCAAGTGTCCTCTCCTCGTCCAATCTCTAAAGTAGAGTCCAGCTGCTCCCTGGATCCTCTTCAGTACCTCAACACTGATCAGACTCAGGCCTCGGTGTGTAGAGTGCTCCTGTTACTGCTGTGTGTGGTTGATACTAACAAGATAAACCACTTTATTTATATTTGTGTGTTTTTGAACTGTAGGTGAAGTTGGCTGCAGGACACAAGTTTGACAGAGACGTTGAAGTGCTGATTTATTACAAAGATGCCCACCAGCCCACTGCTGTGGTGGAGGCAGGACAGGCCTCTGTTCAACACGGTGCGTGGAAAACAATAAAGTCATCCCAAATGAAAAGTTGTTTTTATGATATAGATAATTTAACTTTGCACTTAACATTATTATTGGTGTTAGTCTTTAAACCTTCTTAGRTGATGACAGATCAAAATAGTTACAGGTTGTTGTTGGAGTGTTGAAGTGGATAATCTGGCAAAAAAAGATGTCGTTTTGGTAAAATGCAACCTTTTATGATGACAGTAAATTATTTAAAAAAGTTAATTATCATGGTTTTGAAGATGTGTACTACTAATATGTCACACAGATTTATAAAATATTTTTAAAATGTCCTTTAGTCGTATTTGTTTGAAAATATAAGTGGCGTTGTTTTTTGACATCACATTGGTATAAATATCAGAGTATTTCTCCTGGTATTTGGGTCAGGTACTCTGATGGGTGATCCGGTGGTAATGTTGAGCCTTTACCCAGAATTCCCCAAATCTGTGACGTCTTCACTCAACACATGTGGAGAGTTTGTGTTCCTACTGGATCGATCAGAGAGTATGGATTCCCCCCTGTATTCTGGAAGTCCTCAGAGTCGTATTGCCAGTGCTCTGGTAATATTTTACAYGTAAAAACTTTCATTCTATGTTTTTGTGACACCTGAACCATAAAGCAGTATTTATTATTTTTCTCTTTCTCCTTTTCAAAGGATACTTTAATGCTCCTGTTGAAGAGTTTACCAATGGGCTGCTATTTCAACATCTACAGTTTTGGAAGCACTTATGAACACATCTTCCCGTAAGCTTTTGCCGGCATATTTGTGCACTTGTTCCTCCTGATGGGCAGCAATGGKATGCACTAAAGTATTTTTTTTCTCCCAACAGTAAGAGTGTAAAGTACAACCAGAAAACCTTGAAACAAGCTGTCAAACAAGTTGAAGAGATGGAAGCTACTCTGGGAGGAACAGAGATCCTGGAGCCTCTCCGACATATTTACAGCCAGCCCTGTATTCCCCAAAATCCTAGACAAGTAATTAAAACACACAMACACACATGTTTGTTTTTCAACCCCGTGGGGACCATGCATTGAATTCCATTCACTTTTTTTAGACTTTATATCCTAACCCTGACCATTTACTCTAAAATTAACCTCACAGGTACTTAGCTGACCCTAAAACTAACCTAAAACTTGGCATTGGTCTCCACGATGCACTTTGGTCCCCACAAGGCTGCTTTTTTGGGGGGGAAAATTGATTTTATTTATTTTTATTTTTTACTTTACTCATTTCATTAAAAAAAAACTAAATTTTATATTCAATAAAAATAAAAAATACAAATATAATGAAATGAAAGGAAGCAGAGAGAAGAATAAAAATCTTATAATATCTGCCCCATGTTGTAGGAAAAACTCCACACACACAC